CCTCTTCGAAGGTTATCGGTTTCTTCTTCTGTTTTATTCTTCGCTTCTACGGACATTGGCGGATTTTTATCAATCTCTTATCACGATAAAGGTTAATATTCCTTACTGTTGCGTATTCACAAAACAAATCGACCTCCGGACAAACGCTTTCGCACTAAGCGCTTCATTTGGATAGATTTGATTGGAGTTTGATTACCCAACCACTGAGCTCGAGCTCCCAAATAAATTATCTGGCAGTCTTTACTATTTCACGACAGTAGGTATCATCCCAACTGTTTCAATTGTAATGCTTGTTTGTTTTTTGTTTTGTTCCCCCATTCATTGTTGTTTATAGTCCTTATACTCCTTACATATTCATCTCATCATATAAGAAATTGTTCTGTTCAGAGATCTTTTATCGAAATCCCATTTCAACATTGTATCACATTCCTAATGACACGCTAATGAAGTTAAGCTAGCCTAGAAAGCATCGTTTTATGCTCACCAAACTGATAAGTGAATGAAAGGAAAGACTCTGACAAATCACTTGGTGAATCTCTTTGATAACACTATGAAAATGACGATATTCGATATACAACGGCACTAAATAACTGGATACACTTGATGATTAGGATTATAATTATTACCATAAAGAAGCTCGGCATTATATCAATAACATTATTGTTATAAGGGATTGACAAATGATTCAAATCACTGAAGATTTTTTTTCTTGCTTCTTCATACTTTGTCAGAGAAGATCGGACCATCTCAAGCATTCTACCAGGTAATGTCATGCACACAGACGCAGATTATTTTGTTATTAGGGGAGAAGTAAACATTTCTTCTCATAACAGTTATGTCATTAAACTTCCGTTGTTTCCCTTGAATTAAGAACTAAAGATTTGTCATGAAATGAAACGATGTAATTGGATGTAACTGGACCAAACTTTCAGAGGAATTATGAATTTAAAATGTTATTGTGGAGCAGTGTTGAGAAGAAATTTAAAAATTTGAAATGAAATATCTTTGCTTTAGTGAAAAAGAGAAAAAAAAAATAGAAAGAATTAGGCAAATTGAAATTTTGGAAATTTCCACTCAATCCGCAACTTTATGAATATACCAGTCCTATTTCCTTCCTTATTTCTGATCAATCAAAAGTTAATTATCATATCAGTAAAGCCATGTTTTCTTTATCCGTATGTATTTTTATCATGAAATTATGATACTTTTCAGTACAGCCCTTCATCATACAAATGCTTCTTACATTTCATTCAACTCAAACTAAAATTTTTGAAACCAACGATATTTGACTTTTGATTAATCTTCAATGCTACATTGTTACCAATGTCAAATTCACGGTGATTATCGATATCTTTTATATGGGGATGAAAATATAACAGTTTTATCAGTTATTTACACCAGAAATGTTAAATATAAGGGCAAGCTGACTCTTTGCCGTTTTCTGCTCTCTCAGTTTATGAATTCATACATCAATCATCCCCTCTTTTTCTTCCATTTTTCTTATCATTTTTGCGGTATTGAACGGTTGCTTTTAATGCTGGTGATAGTGTGTATCAATGTAAATCCGCTGATATTTAAATGATCTTTAATCTTACAACACTTCTATAACAACAATTTCATGTGCAGAATGTCTCGTGTTTACGATTCAGACGAGTGCCATAAGGGAGTCGGAAATAGTTTGGTTAGTTTTGCCTTTGATCAATAATAAGTGAACAATAGGCTACTAACTCTTAGCTCAATTGACCATAGGTCAGTCTTTTCATATTGCTTTTATAATATAGTTTACCTCGCTAAATCTTACATTGAACCTCCATGAAATATTTAAGTAACGATAAATGGATGCATCTCTCGGGGTCCTTTGACACATGGCTGGATAGGTGCATCAAAAAATTGGCCAGATTTTAAGATAAACATTATATTTTTTCCATTATTATGAAATATGCCATGAAGTATTTGCATTTCATTTCATGCATTTCAATCAGATGACGAACAATTGTTTACTCTATCTGATTGTGACACCCATTGCTTAATTGGCTGATTGAGTTATGAGAGACACCGAAGATTAAACTATTCCATATCTCTTATGAGCAGCACTGCAGGGAGTATTATTAAAGCCTTGCCATTCCTTCCTATCTGAAAGATATTCAACGGATAATTATTTCATTTTTCCTTTATCCCTTTTGATCAACTCATATCAAACATTCATGTTTTACTTTAACTGCATGAATAATCGTACGATAAAAAGATTGCCTCTGAATATGCAAAAATTACAGAGAAGAGATTGCACAGAATGGAAGCGACAAAAGAATCTGGTTCAGAAGACAGTACAAGAGCAACATGTCACATCAATGCCAATCATATATATTGCTCGGCCAAGCTATCGTCCCGTGTAAGCAAATTATCATTTTAATCATTCGTATCATTCGTCTCTGCCGCAATGTATATTGCACAGTGACTTTAACAGAAAAGCGCACTGCTCGGTGGGTTCCATCGATTTGAAATTATTTGACTCTTCACACTTCTGTCGAAATCTTTGGAATCAATCAATAGGCGTTACTATTTTTCTCAACTTCAGTGAACAATTAATCAAAAAAGAAATAATTGGAAACAAATAAAGAAACAAATAATTTCCTAAGCAACCCTGGGCGTTTTTGTCTAATGTTATGTAAAAGAATTCATTGAATGGGAAAAAATTCACTGATAGGTTTAATATCAGTCCTAAAAATTGTGCTACAGAAATCGTCGTAGTTTAGATCTTAAAATCCAAAAAATAGTGAAAAGGATTTAGAGAAATTATTACACGACAGTTCTTGAATAGCTTTAAATTAATTTCATTCTGTTATTTCTATACATTTTTTTTTTCAATTGCACTCTTTTATTAGCTGAATTGGTGGGATTTTTAAATGAAAAACTCTGTCTTGCCAAGTTTACGCAAACATCGTAAAATCATAGGACAGGAATGGTGACGTTCTTAGGCAGGAAAAGATATAAGATCGCACGGGCAAAAAATGGTTCCAGATATATTTTCAAACAATTCAAATATGCCTGCAAGCCAAATATTTACTTCCTTTGGGAACTGGTAGCCACAACACCTGAAGTTTTGTCAATGAAAGCAGTTAACTTTGGGGAAGATATTTCATATTTCATTGATGAAACTGCTAAATAGCTTCATGCATCTTTCAGAGAAGACAGTTTGTGGCAATTTGGATGCCCTAAACAACCAGATAAGCACATGGTCATCAGCTCAGGTCCACAATATCGTAGTGTGAAACCACTGAATGTTACTAGTCAAGTTCATAAACTAGCAAGTTGATTTTCCATCAGTGAATTTGTTAATGAAATTTTAATGAGACTGGAAATGAAAATCTATGCAATTCATGGAGAAAATATTGAAATAAATTGATGAAAGAAATGTTCATCGATTCATAAGTCGGTTGGCTGATCACTGACACTAATAACTTCTTAAATTTCAATTATACTTCTATTTTCTATTTTAAATGTTTCTAAAAGCAAATTAGTAGCTGGGACTTCGATTGTACTTTGGTTTACCGCAGATTTCATCGAGTATTGGTGATATTATTAATACGGAGTACGGTTTCACCATTCGGCTGGAAACAAAATATTTCCAACCAAGAGATATTCAGGTTTCGTTCTAAATTCAACACAAAAAATTCCAGTCATTTTATGTCAACGACGAGTAGGCGATACTATCCCTCGAATACACAAAGCCAAAATTATCAGAGATAAATAAGTATCCTTTTCAGATAACTTTACATCAGCGCATGCTTAGTGTAATTGGAGATCGTTTGGAAGACGATGGTATTGGTGCACAAAAACTACGCCGAAGTTTCACGCGCAAGTATATAATTCCTCCTGATGTACAACTCTCCTCTATATCATCCTATGTGACCAACAATGACTATTTAATCATCAAAGTATTTATTTATATGCACTTTTTTTGGACTATTTTTTAGAAGTAATCGTAACCTATTTCTAGGAAGATGCATATGAGAGAATCATGTGGGCTTACGCCTCATTACTAGAGGATTTGCTGCATTGATTGACCAGATAATCTTAATAGTATCCTTATTGTAATAATTCTCCAAAAAATTATTCCTTGCAAGCGGAAGGTAATTTTTTCCTTCTTTAACAGTTTTGTTTGAATTAACATTCTCAGTTTTATCTTAGGGTAGTCGAAAAGGCTGGAAGGAAACCGACTTAACAGAGCATTTGGCATCTTCATCAATGTCCAGCGAATCAGTGATAAGTGCCATTTGAGACAGATCCGGAAAACATTCGTAATCGTGATTTTGATATTTATATTCTTTTTCCTGCTGTCTTACCAATACATAAAGGTCACTTTGATGATAATTGCTATCTGATAAATATTTCTAAGCATCGTCACTTTCAAGTGAATAAATTATTTAATATCTGCGAAATACAGAAGGCCACTCCCTTTTGATACCCTTAGAAGACTTTAAACTGAAGTGATCATTACTCTTTTTTTATCCCGTGATCCAAACTTGTCAAACATTTGCCATTTTCATCCTTAATTTGGTTTTCTGGTGCTCCAGAAGTGGGTCACATAAAGGATAGCGTCGATATTCATAATTCACGCTCTTCGAGGTTCAAAAAATGCATATTCCGGGCGTATGCATGACGTCATTGTCATAATTGTGCTGTTAGAGGAGAGGAATGTGAAGAAGTGAAAAGTTTCGACCGATAAAGTAGATAAGTTCAGAACAAGTGGCAAGTGTCGGAAAAAACCGAAGTAATTCTATCATAAAGTTATTCATTTAAATAGTTTGCATTTACATTTATTTTTCCTCTCTCATGCTCAAAGTCATGAGTCAGCTATCAAATCTTCAAATCGTCTAAATGAGTTTTATTTGATATTGAGGTTTGCGCACTCTAGATTACAACTAATTTTATAAACACTGATGGGCATACTGTAGAGATATCTAATCTGATAAGCATGCTTATATCCAACATGTTTATCCCTAGATTTTTGTTAATTATTGTATTTCTTTCCTTTCTCCAAACAAAGTATATTGTAATTGAAGCCACTTGATATAAGTTAATATAGATATGGAGATTTCTCTGGTAGCTGTGAGTATACGTTAATTTGTTATGATTGTTTCTCCTTACACACTCCCTATATAAACGTTAGAAATCCTAACAGTGATTACTTTTCTTGTCAAAATCCCATCTGTCGACAATCAGGTTCACACAAACGCTCTTCTTCATTTATCTCTTCCAATCTACTAATCCTTACAAAATCTCACTATTCTACTGGCTTTACCCTGGAAGTCATCATTTTGTAATTGGAATTATTTGAACCTATCTTTACTGTATTTGGTATCCAGACAATAAAGGATAATCTGTTGTAAGTTTCGAACACAAAACGAACCGATACACTGTAAGTCATTCCTTTAAAAATTTAGCAGCTTCTACAACGAACAATAACAATCTTTCTCACCTTCTTAACTCCCTTTCTATTACTTTGTCACGACAGCAAGTAGTGGCAAACTGAAGAGAAAAAAAGTAAGTCTTGCAGTGTGTGTTGCAAATGCATTGATCATCCGAACGAAAAGCATGTCCGTCTGTAAATCTTCGGGAAGATGCTATCAACCAAATTTCCTATATATCTTTCCTCTACATTCTCCTTACTGCAGACAGTAAGCTGTCGGTTAGCTGATTATCCCGCAGATTGCAATCGACTTCTACTGCCACTTTCGGTACTGCATTCTTCTCGGCTATCTTCAATTCAGTTTTTCTCTTATCAGTTATAATAGCCACAAACTAAGGATAAATGTCGTTTCCTCTATGACGCAACATTTGTTCTGTTAGAACTTATAGATGATCAATACGTTTGGAAGAGATGAATAAAGGAATATGTGATAGTTCGGACATCTGCGCACCATCCGACTTCATTTCTCTTCCTTTCTTCGCTCATAGAAAGAGATGGGTGGAAGTGGTCATAAGCATTATCAGGGTAGGAAAATAGCTTCTTCAAAACGGATGGCTAGAAATATGCGGAAATAGGGCTGAGCTCTCGAGTTACTCAGCGTTGCGCTAACTATATGTGGATTGTTCCTCTATTGTTCCGCTTCATGATTCACAGCCTATGCAAATGCCTTCCACAGGTATGCAAAGTCTGATGAACAGCTTGTCCTTCTCCCTTCTTTATATCATCAACAACACTTAGCACATCGCTTATCTTACTGTCCGTCAAAACGAGCTCCGGCATGTAAAATGGATAATTAATTACATGCAGCCGACTGACTACCCGTCTAATCCAAAGCTAATAGTTGCTACTTCATTCCCGCGATTACAACGTAGACCGTTTAAAAATGTGTGTCTGTCTGTGTGTCTGTCTGTATGTGTGTGTGTATGTATATGTTGTGTATGTTTGTGTATGCATATGTGTATGCTTATATGTGTCGGACTGTTCTTGAGAAAAGTTTTTTGTGGCGCAGTACAGCCAATATCCGGCCAAGATGTCTGATTTCTGAGTGATTGTGGAAGATGTAACAGACAATAATTGCAAACAAAGGGAAGAAAAATGCGGAACTATAGCTGGCGCTCCCTTGGTTGTTGCATATGGTGTCCAGGCTAAGGGGAACTTTGAGTAGGGGGAAGCTGGGAATTCGAGAGAGAAAACTGAAGTGCTGAAGGAGAGGTGGGAGACAAGGAGAACGTTTATTACCGCCATGCATTTACTAAGTGCACTCAGTTCCAACTTCAACTCCAGCTCCAGCTTCGGCTTCAACTCTAGCTCCAGCTTTCTGAGCCATTAGCTATAAAACCACCAGTTTGTCGTGTCGCAATACAGCGCTGTGCTTTTAGTAATCTCACTACTAGCTGGCTATTATTGGTTATCTCTATGAGAATTTACTTTTTTCAAATTCCGCTGTGAAATAACTATATTTAACACTTTATCAGTTTGATGAACATAGGTAGCACAGATAGGATAGCATATATTGTGGAATTAGTGGGAACAAAATAAAATCACTTAATTTTCAGTTCTTAGTCTCAAGAAATAATCTGCATTTCCTCTGACTTCATTTTTGTGTTACTTTCCTTCTCCGCACACTGGTTCTAACTTTTATAGTCTGTCGAACACGGTTCCAGAAAAGATGATCCCCAACATAAAATACTGAAGATATTTGCTATCTACTCTCAGCTACTCTCTCAACTTTTATAACATCTCTTTAAGCGGTTATTCTACCGAAATTCTCCATGAATTTACTTATTGTGAAGTTATTCAAAAACAGAGAGAATTCACAAGCTCTAATCCCAATAAAATCGGTACAAGAATGATCCTGAGAGTGATATTGCTGGAATAGAAACGAGAACAACGAATTAACATTTTCTGGATACAAATTACTAATAGATTGCAATGTCTCTCACTGAGCCAAATCTTCTGCCTTTAGGTACAATGCCTTTGGGCTTATTAATGGCGCGAGGAGGGGAAATTGATGAGTTGAAAAATAAAGCAATACTAATGGAATTCGAACTCTAAATCTAGATGAAAAAAGTAGTGAGAGACAATTTGTAGATGCAAAGTATAACAGTTATATTTTGCAAAACACCAACCATTTATTGATATTGTGTGAGAAGTAGGAAAACTTGAGAGGAATACGGAGTACATATTTACTTTAACATTGGTTAACTCCATTTTCACCCTCCTAGTTGCTGATTCATTGGTAAGATTGCGGATTGTGGTAATGAGGTAGCTTAGCAATCGATCTCAATTCGATTTCGAATCGCTATCAGAAAGAACAAGCGAACTGGTGAGAGATAAAGGGTGAAAGAGTATTGTATTCTAGGAAGCAAATCGAAGATCAAATTTCGAATTCTTAGTTGCTCTCTGTTTGGTTTTAATAAAAGTCTAACATCATGAATGGCTTTTCAACTTCCATCTTTTAAATAACAGTATTGTTGTTTCTTCTATCAATTTTGGACAGCTTGAATAATTTCAAATTCTTGTCGTCGAAAACTTTTCGCAATGTTCTTCGAAGAGTAATTAGTCAACTTTGAAAGTGTCATACGCGTGTCACAATGAACACTGTCAAGAAGTTGAAAAGACTGTTCAATATCTAAACTTTCTTTGGATCAGTGAATAGTTTCTTATTTTAATAGTGACTATAATTCATTGATTTCATAATTATCTACCACATGAATTGCTACTGCTTGCTTCAGAAGTCTTATTAGAAGGACGAAATATGCTTACGTATTTTCCCGCTTTCAACCATGCATTGATCGTAGCCAAGCGAGCAACCTTCCAATTTCAGTATCTTCCTGAAGGAATGAATAACAAAAATGGATGGGTGGAGATCGAGATTTAGGAGCTGCTAATTTTTCGATATGTCGAATTATTTTAATTGAAAAATATTAATTTTACTTAAATTGTGGATGATAAAAAACTGGTTCAAATGTGAAAAATTATAGGGGTCGAGTTCACAGATAGCCGCAAATCCTTCAAATCGACCACGCATCAGAGAAGGAGACCGAAGGAGTGCACCAAGTGGTGCACGGAGATTGCTCAACATATTTAATTAAACTACTTCAATTATACACATACAACATCATGTTATATTTGAAATTACTTCTGTTGGCAACATTTTCCACGGAACGGCTGATAGTACCTGGGAGACTATCAGGATTCGTTGACGCAGCTGCATGTAAAGGATGTGTACCGCCCTGTATCTGTCCTGGACGAAAGGGGGAGCGGGTAGCGTTTTTTTTTTGGTATTAGCATATTTTCTTGTTTGGCAAAGAAATCCAGAGCTTTCTATTACTCATGATGGCAAAGACTTTATATATATTCAAATTTTCTGTAAAATTTCAAAAGTGTAAAAAACGGGTTTAATTAGTTCTGGTTCTATAATATTCTGCTCATTTTAGGGTGTACCAGGTTTTCAAGGTGAAAGAGGTCATCCTGGAGCACCTGGTCAGGATGGCGGTGAAGGACAGGCTGGTGCAGCAGGGATGCAAGGTGCTGAAGGAGATTTTGGTGATCCGGGCATGAAGGGTGCTCGAGTAAGTTACTAGAGAAAATTTCAGCCGGGAAATGAGGGATGGTATTTTGAATTCCAAATCTTCATTGCTGGCGAATATATAAAAATTGTTATAGGGTGATCGAGGTTTACCAGGCGCACCGGGCCATGTTGGATTTCCCGGGCTTGATGGCTTACCTGGTATGAAAGGTGAAATGGGTATACCGGGCTGCAATGGTACCGATGTGAGTTCGTTTCTTTATTGTAATAAGTTTTTAATATACTTTTCTCAAACTTAATGTCATGCTATGTGTAGAAATTTCATCTTTTCAAAAATCGAAAGGATAAAAAGAAATTTCTTTGACATTTTGCAATGAATTTTTTATTTCTTGCAGTATGTATCGTTTCCTAGGGTAGAATTTTTTAAGGATTAAAATCTGAACTGTTACTCCTGAATGAGATTTCTTTCGCTTTTTGAATCCACCAAGATTTGTCAGCTGCCATCTCTGAAGACCTTTAATAACTAGCTCCATTATCAAAAAAGTTAAGACTTTTTGGTTCACGCTCTGTTCACTGTTTAATGCAAATGAACAGATAGATCGAATGAAATCAACCTTTAATAGTGTTTATATTGAGATAAAATTTTTGCTGTGCTTGCGATAGTACGCAATACCGGATGATATTTCGGCGTAACATTCGTGCCCGATCATCCGTACCTTTCACATAAGCTGCTACCATTAAAGCTATACTATAAAGTAATATATTTAATCAAATCAAATATAATTAATTACTACTTTTTTTTCTCAATTCTAGAATAATTACTTTTATGGCAAAACTTCGTTTCTCTTTTTTTGGTTATTTCGTATTAACAAAAAAAAACCAAACTTAATCAATAGTAACCAAACTAATTTACGTAAAAAAA